TATATATACATATGTATGCGTGCGCACACGCGTATGTGTGTGTAAAAACATTTTGCATTATAAAAATATTTCATATTTCATTAGAGATTTGTTACTTTTGACTGTTGTGATGCTTTGTCAATTTCAATGCGCATAATGTATTAGATTCTTCGCTGTAATATGATTCATCGTCTACACTGCTATCTTCATATGGAGTTCCACCTTCATCTTCATCCTCCTCATCTGTAATTGAGGAAGTAAGGGACGAAACGGTGGTTACCGAGATTCGCCGATAAAGCTTCTGTAAAGATTTTTGCGAATCTTGCGTTTGAAGTAATCGACGAAATCCCGAACCTCCCCAAATCTTTCCTATTTTTATATATATTAAAAATTATTCATTATAGAATTTTATTCTTTACTTATGGAAAGAGAGAAATATTAAAGTATTACCGAGTAAACCAAGTTTTGATCTCTGTGGCACGAGCTCAATACCGTTCCACCACATTGTATCCTTGCATACTAATTTGCCTGGACGAAGAGACGGGTCACGTGTTACAAGCCGTGTAATTTTTTCCGGGAAGAAAAGCTGAGGTGGTTCCAAAATTATCACTTCTCTGTGTGCTGTTAAGATATTCAATATACTTAATTCTTTCTCACTTTCTATACTCGGTATATGTTCCTGAAGGAAAGTACAAATTTTCTTTTTATAACATTTTTATAAATACACACACACACACACACACACACACACACTCGCGCGCGCGCGCGCGCGCGCGCACATATATATACATACACACAATATAAATTTGTTCATATTAATAAATACTATTCATATTTATTTATAAATACCATTTTACAACGCAATTATAAAAGATAGATAATACTGATACCAACTTTGTACCTACATCCGCCATGATTTGATAAAGCTTCAAATCTGTAGGCAGATTGACTGCAACATGGGTATTTTCCCAATGGAAAGGGCATAGGTCTTTGTTGTTCGTTTACAAAGAATTGTGCAGATTCTGGGTGATAACAGCACCAATCGATTTGATGTATCGGAAAATATACATTGCATTGTTGACAGAGTAAAAAATGACAATCACCCCATAATCTCCAATACACTTTGCGCCAAGAGCGCAATTCTGATCGCAAAGCAATGACGTAGTCGTTCAATGTCCAAGTCAAGTCTCTGTAAAATTTCATATTTCCTAAATATCCAAATATTTGCATAAATTTTTTTTAGATGTAATAAAATATTCAATATTACAAAAATATATATACTTCACATGTACCTAACATGTTTACTATGAATGGCTCCTTTATTATCAATTCTCATTGCATTTGGAATACAAGGCACAAAATCAGAAATCGATTGTACAATATTTTTGCCACATTTTCCACATCTAAACATCATAGCTAATGAATTGTAGTGTCCTCTTTTATTATCTGGAATGACCTCCAGTAGCGATGTAATTAACTTACAAAACAAACGACTCTGAATTTTATCTTTTTTGTCTTTTAGCATTTCAACATCTTCATTAGTAAATAATTCAGCCAATCTATGGATTATTGTAAATGTCGATAAAATAGAAAAGGGAGAAAAAGCTTTAATACTATCATTTATTATTATTCCTTATAATAGTATACCAAGTATAATTGAAATTATAACAACAATAAAATGCATGCCTCGTAAGAAGATTATCATCTAAACATGTTAAGACAGTTGACGTTTTTAAAATATCTGACATGTTGTCATGACAATACTGAAGACAATTTTCCAAAAGTGGTTCCATTTGTAAAAAACAAGCAGAAACCATAATAGGAATGACATTATTTGCCTCTAAAACTGGCCACTCTGACTTCTTTATAATATCTTTCTTCACCCATCTCATCAACCAATCAAAGATAACCACATCGCAATGTACAGATATATCTATCTCATCAAGTTTCTGTCCTGCTGTAATATCAGCAAAGTAACACATCTTTTGTATAAGAAGCTTCTGTGGACATCGAAAGTTTTTTCTGATATTTTTATCTTCGTCGCATACATGAATTTCTACTTCACCCCTATAAAATAAATATAAAAAAATATTAGCTATGTTATTAAATTTAACATAAAGAATTAATTTATTAATTGAAAAATACTTACTCTAAAGATTTCTTATTTGGTTTATTTTTTCTTTATCTCTTTCCTTATAAATTGAAATTTTATTTTCAATTACATTGCCCAACGAAGAACTCTTTTTCACATCTCCAGCAGCAGGAGCAGATTTCTTAATAATAGGCTGCGATAAAGCAGATTTTGGGAGCATATATGGCAAAACAGAATCTAGTAATCCTTCGTGCAAAATATCTCTTAAATTTTCCTTCATGACTTTTGCTAAGCCATGTTCACTTTCCTCCAAATGCTGTTTAGTCTGTAATATCTTTTCTCTCTCACTTTGGACTTGATTCTTTAATAATTGATTTGTTTCTTTAATATTATTTGTTTCTAGATATTTGTTAGAAAAATTTTCTATAGAGTTAGATTCCTTCTCTGAACTATTGTTGTTGTATGTTTCAGAAATACTGCTATTACAAGATGTCACAGAACACTGTGAACTTATTATGCTTTCTGATGTACATGGACTTGTATCCTTATTACTTATTGTTTGTAATGTTTGAATGGGATTATTCTTGATTGATTGTTCTTGAATATTAGGATTAAAATTATCATTGATTGCTTCATTATCCTCATGTCTTTCTAGATCTAAATTAATCTTTGCTAATTTGTGCCAATCAATTTCACTATTATTGCTCAATATTGTAGTCAAGCCTTCACAATTGTCATTAACTTGATATGCAATTCTCATAAAATCAAAAAATGCTCCGATTGTTAATTTAGAGTGCTTATCTTCTTGGAAGCTTCGTAATTTTTCAGCTAAATCAAAATATTTATTATTATTATCCATAAATCTGTCATAATCATGACACAACTCAACCCACTCTAGTGCAGTTATTAATCGACTTATTACAGAATATTTCTATTTGGTACAATTATTAATGTGATTTAAAACTTAGCAACAAAAATTGTGCTAACAGCATTATATAGGAATGCAGATAAGTTATCAAAATATTTCAAGATAAAAGTGCAGCCAATATTTAATTTCGGTGTGATCTAGCATACCAGTAAGTTTACATATACCTTCGTTACTCGTCGAGGCACATGATTTTAATATTGTACTTGCATTTAAAGCAATATTATTAATTTTATGTGATTCCATATCTTTAATCGAGAAAGTACTTATGCTGCAATTTAACTTTACTCGTGCGTCAGAGGGAAAGAGAGAGAGAGAGAAAGAAAAAGAGAAAAAGGGGGAAGGAGAGCACAAGATATTATGTCAATACACTGTACTCTGACAATTGTAGTATAAAAATTATTTAAATTATCACAAGAATTTTTTGTTACAATATTGAAAAATTATTTAAATAATTATGAAACATTGTCATATACTCGATATCGAGGATTATCAAGAATGCCTTCATCCTAATGATTGACGAACTGCGTACCAAAATTCATTGTTTTTTAAATATGATCAGTTTTCTGTGTGTTTTAAAACACCGATAACACATGGGATCTGTTCTTTTTAGCTGACTGGCTGCACTAGTTCAGAGTTTATCTTTTTTCTTCTGTGTAAGAAAAAAAGATAAACTGTGAACCAGTACAACCAGTTCAGCCAAAAAGAACAGGCCTCTTGTCTATAATTACTAAGTCTGTTCTTTTAAGAATCGACAGGCGTGACGGGCTAACTCCGACTTGATCTAAAATGATTATCTACTTCTTATTTACAGTGCAGATATGTATCTGTACTCAATTATATTTTGTCTTATAGAAACAATGTTTCGTCATAAAACTTTATTAAGATAATTTTTTTTACAATTGCGAAGCTACCTACAGAGCCAATTGCAATTTTGCAATTTAGTTCTTAAATAATTAAAATAAATGTAACTATCTACTTCTTATTTACAGTGCAGATATATATTTGAGTACACCTATATATCATCTCGCAGAAGCAATATTGTACCATGAGTCTTTTTCTACATATTTTTTATAAAATTATGACTCTTGCTAGAGCCGGATTTTGCAATTTGGTTCTTAAAAAAAAATTTACAATAGATGAAATTTTTTATTTGTACCTTATTGTCCTATAGTGCAAATCTATTTACGCATAAATAAATTATTTATTTTCACACATTTTCTTACAAAAATCGCTTTGTAACTTTTGTCAGGTAAATATTCTGATTATAAATATCATAATTATATAGTTTTCTTCGCAATATTTTGGCCGTAATGTGGGTAAAAAGAAATTCATCTCCGATAGAGATCTCCATAGTCTCTCCTGCCGACTCTTAAGCTGAATTGGTTGCACTAGTTTAGAGTTTATCTTTCTTCTTCCAATATTTTTTTCATATTTATCATTAAATATTGGCTGGGTTCCGTAAAGCGCATATGCGTGCATTTTGTTATAATATACATGACATGAACTATAGATAAATGCGCGCATATGCGCTTTACGAAATCCAGCCATTATTTATATTTCAAAAAAACAGAGTAATTGAAATTTGAATTTGAGTGGGAATTGATGAAAATTATGGACCAATCAAAAGTAACACTCTCATGGCTAGTCTCTGAGTCTGTTCTCTTTAGCTGAACTGGCTGCATTAGTTCAGAGTTTATCTTTCTTCTTCCAGTAAGAAAGAAAAATAAACTGTGAACTAGTACATTTTAGCCAATTCAGCCAAAAAGAACAGGCCTTCCGATTAGAGGGTCTCTAAAGGCTATATCAGACTAGCGGTTGTCCGGCTACAGTTGCCGATTGACGATTCTACTATTATCAATCACATTGATCATAATCAGGACCTGCTACATTGTGATTGGCTGAAATAGAATCGTCACCGTAGCCGCGCAATCACTAGTCTGATATGGCCTTAAGGCTGCATTCCGATATTCATTGCAAGTACTGGAAATTTATAATATACGTGACCTGAACTATATATTTTCAGTATTGGCAGTGAATATTGGAATGCATCCTAGAACAAACGTGACAACATCTGTCATTCTCATGTTCTATAGCCGGCTATATAAATATGGTTTTTTATCATCGATCATTGATCCGAAAAACACTATAGTTGATTTTTTTCTCGGTAAGAAATCTGGAAATCTGAAAATCTATAAAAGTTTATAAATTTTTTTATAGCTTTATTTGTATAATTATAGATTATTCTTAATTCTTTTTTTTATGTGATTAAATTTATATATCAATATTTATATATATATATTCTTACAGGTTAAGTATCTGACACTTCTAATACATTTATATGTTTAAAAATGGTACAAGCAAGTGAAAACGATATCTTAAGTATAGGCGGAGTTCTGAATGATTCCGCCAGACCTTTAAAAGAAAGGTTCCGTGCTCTATTTACTCTGAAGAACATTGGTGGTCCAACGGCAATAGAGCAAATCCACGCGTGCTTCAAAGATCAGTCAGCTTTGTTAAAACATGAACTTGCGTACTGTTTGGGTCAGATGCAAGATCCTGCAGCCATTAGTATCTTAACAAATGTCCTGGAAGATCTGTCGCAAGAGCCGATGGTACGTCACGAAGCGGGTATGTATTTGGCATATATGGATCTCATTCATGCTACAGTAATTTGCACAAAAAGAAGTGAAATAAATAGTTAATCTTTTTGTTAGGAGAAGCATTGGGTGCTATTGGTGTATCGAGTGTGATTCCATTATTAGAAAAATATTGCAAGGACCCTGTACCTGAGGTTGCAGAAACTTGTGAGTTGGCCTTAAATCGTTTGAAATGGTTAGAATCTAATGGCAATGTGAAAGATTTACAAAAAATCTATACTTTACTATTGATCCTGCGCCAGCAACAGAAATAACAGATGTAAATGTCCTAAGAAATATTTTACTGGATGAAAGCAAATCATTGTTTGATAGATATAGGGCAATGTTTTCCCTAAGAAACTTAGGTACTACAGAGAGCATCATAGCTCTTAGTGAAGGTAATTGTGAGGAAATTTACTTATAAGATATTAGAATATTGGTAAGAATATTGGTATAAATAAATATACTTATAAAATAAGAATATTAATATTAAATATTAATTAACAAATATTTCCACACAAAGGCTTGAAAGCTGGTAGTGCTCTATTTAAACATGAAGTAGCATTTGTACTAGGACAACTTCAAAATGAAGTATGCGTACCAGGATTACAAGCATCGTTAGAAGATACTGATGAAAATGAAATGGTCAGACATGAATGTGCGGAAGCTTTAGGTTCTATCGCCACTCCAGAGTGCTATGAGATATTGAACAGATACCTCAATGATAGTAAAAGAGTTGTACGTGAGAGCTGTATCATTGCTTTGGATATGTGTGATTATGAAAACAGTACAGAATTTCAATATGCAGATACCCTGGCCAAGCTTCCCATTGTATAAAGAATATCCATCTTTTGAAATGTCTAGTTTATAAATTGCATAATATTATATATATTTAGCATTTCAAACGAAAAAAAAGAAATATAAATTATTGTCCACAATTTTTAGTATATTTGTAGTATATTTACGCCATGTTCAAACTAATTAAAATATTGTTACATTCCTTATTACATATTATATCTTTTGATATGTTTTTCCTTTTTTTCCTGCAAACTTAATTTTCTAATATTATTTCAATCATATACTTCATTTTTTAGCTGAAAAAGTTTTATGAAACTAGTATCTATAATATCTTGTAGTGCGATATTTAATAATTTGAAATTCTAATAATGCGATGCGATTAAGAAACAATAGCATAAAATCAATCATATAAGAAATACATAAAGTATGCATTTTGTCGTCACGTAAGACGGTTTCTTTTCCAAGAAAACGGTAAAATCGGCAGATTGAATCGCAGTGTTGTATGCGGGTGTACCGCTAATAGCAAATGAGCTCGATAAGACTCGCAATACAAACCGGGTATTACAAGCGAAATCGATCAACCATCACACTCTGCCGTTTTTACATTCATTATGAAACTTAAATTTGAAATTTCTTCTTTAATCGCACTCGGAAGTGTGCAGCTGTGCTGATCGTATCCTTACAGTGGAATTTCGAAATTGTTCGTGTTCAATTTCATAAATATCGCGTGCCACTTCGCGCATTCATTGGCATACATTCGTTAGCTTCTATCATTATAGTCACACATGAAATTCTTCATACCTTTTGCATATGTAAAGCTGATCGTAATGAATATTTTTTCGTCCACCATTTCTGACGGATGCATCAAGATTCGAATTGATGGGAAGAAAAGATGATGTAAGGAAAGAAACTTGAACTGAATAATGAAGCAATTCAGAGTTTGTAAAACAATATTGACGTATAGTAAATATTAGACAGACGGATATAGTTCGTCAAAGCTTCAGCATTTAAGCAACTAAGCATATGCAAGACGTACTTATAAACGAAGATATAAAGATATGCATATATTTTCGAATGTAACTTGTAAAATATAATATAAATATGAAACGTTATAATAAAATATTACAATTAATATCGCCCTTACATCCACTTTCTATCGATTAACTTATCGTTAGAATGTTGTTTCACGCACTGAAGTGAAAGAAATAATTTGCAAAAGCGCAGAAAATATCTTCCACGATTTATCTCTGTTTTCTCGCGCAAGGATATTCTGCGAGAAGATGATTTATTTCTCCCGGTATCTTTGTCAAGGTGTTTGCAACGCCACAACTCGTTGTAAAATATAAGACGATTCTCGGCAAAGTGGGGGGATGGATGGGGGTGGTCGATATTAACTGCGAAGCAGAGTTCCTTTCTCGGTGGAGAATGCGGTGGCGATAGTCACATGCCGGCCGCGGTTGAATTCGTACTCTTGCTGTTGTGTTCCCACATTCCTCTGCTATTTCATAAAGTAAGTGTTATCGCCTATCAATTATAATAACTCGCTAAAGTATGACTGACACCAATTATAAGTATCATAATTATATTTCTAAGCATCTATAGTTTTCTTCGCTGTTTCATCAATAAAAATTTTTTAAATATTCTTGTTACAGTTATATCTTCTCAGCAATATGCAAAATTTTACATTCAATTTTTGCGATTTTTTTTTTTATGAAGTTTCAAAAATATAATTTTTCCAAAAATTTACACTATATACAAACAGTATTTTTTATCCAGAGACGTTAAAAAAATAAGATCAGCCAAAAAGATATCTTAAAAGTTCTTAAAATAATTTTTTAAATATATGTTTAATATAATTAACAAATTTTTCTTTCTTCTTTATTTTCTCTCTTCTTATACTAGAAGAGACTATATCAAACTTTTTTAAAATATTTGATTTAAAGTATTTTTGCAATTAACTATATTCGTAAAATATATTGGTCTCACATTGAAGAATATTTGTAAAAATTACCTTTCATGGAATCTTTAAAATTAGAAGACATTTTTTCTTTATTAATAAAATAATTACATTTTTTTTAATAATTAAAATAATTAAATAGCAATATTAAGAACAGAAATAAAGATAAGTAAAATAGTGTTTTACTAAACACTCCAATTACAAAACATTTCAACATTTTCAAAGATCAAGATTAAAGATTTGCGAGATAAAATTCTCTAACTTTGCGAGATAAAATCCTGTTGATTCTGCTAAATTTATTACCCGTCAGACTACATGTAATATTTTATGATTAATATTAAGCAATCTTTTATTATTCGTTATTAAAGCTTTTAAAAGTTCAAGTATTTTAATTATTATCATGTATATTTTAAAAAATTACAAGGAGTACGCACGTTTCTCTCCGTATTATGCAATCGTGTTTCGTGTGTGCTACTTTTTTACATGGGATTCATGTCGTGAGAGATTTAATGATAAACTTGGCGACTTCCTTCTCGCGAGGCTTTTACCGTCTTTAAAAATACCAATCTGCCCGCGTGATGTTGACGCAGTATTTTAACGTTAATATTGTTCAAATCATATTCAATATCAATGATTGGAGATGAATATTAGACAGAGACATTTTATTGTGAAAGCATATGTTATACTTTGACGCGGATTTAAGTACTAAAAGAAAAACGGAAGACACTATATACGCTTGATGTATTTTGACCGATTTTATTTATTTACGAGACAATTGGCGTTGGTGAAATATGCATTTCGATTCGGAAGCGATATCACTCGTCTGAATACACAAGTTCGCGTTTGCCTCTTTGACAGCGACAGCTGTCTTTGTAACGTCAATCGTGCATCGTACATCCCGGAAGCAAAACAAATGTCGATCATTCATCAGCGATTCCGGAGGAAGTCATAAGTGAGAAACTGCAGGGTGATTTGATGGACGTTTAGAAAGACTTGCCTTCTCTTATTCGAGTAATATCAAATATAATATTAAAACGAGGCGCTATTAGATATGAGTTGCATGTTTCTCCACTATATGACTTCTCGCTTTTGACGTCACAATCCAATATACTTGCAAGCACGACGAAACAGGAGTGTTAATACGTTAAATTCAATTCACATTTCAGTGGAATAATTTTACACGAGATTTTACACTTCGTAATCTTACGTCTTGTGCGTTTAAATCACCAATAAAAATTCTAGCGACTCAACGATTGGGACTACATTCGCCACAATTTTTAATACATAGGAATCGTTTCGGCATTACGTGTCGATCGTTAAATTGGCATACCTTTATGTCGGCACATCCGGTCTTTACAATCCTAGTTAGTTAACTTTGTAGTGGAATCGATCTTACCTTTTCTTAGTATTACTGTTATTATCGTCACTATCATCGTAACGCTATTATTAATCTCTTTTTCTTCCTCCGATGATTTTAAGAAGAGTTTCGTGCCGACATAAAGATGTTTTTTTGCGTAAATATGTGTAAAAAGATTAAAAGATCGCGGATATTAATTTTTAAAGTTCAAAGATAAGGACGAGCGTATATCAATTTTGTGCAATTTCATGCAATTTTCTTTCAGCGTAACGATTTACGGGTCGTACATATACACATGCCACTGAGATCATCGATGAACGGTGAGGAATCGAATTCGCGATCGCGGGAGATCATGACGGACAATCGGTGGCGTCCGAGGGACGAGACGTAGGGGGATATGTCCGGCTGTTTGTCATCATCTATGACAGGATCGACAGATGCGGGGCCGCTGCAGCCCCAGGAAGATCCCGCGCCGCTTCTCGCTGCTCGACCACTGTCGAGTTACGACCTTGGGTCGAGCGTATCGGAGGGCGACGGTTCGTCCGCTCGACGAAGTAGTCGTCATCGACATCAATCGAAACGTAGGATGACATCCGCTCCGCCGTCTGGGCAAACGATACAACTGACTCCTCTCTGGGAGCATGTGGTATATTCCGAATAAAAGCATTTAGGACACTTGTTTTGTTTTCTACATCTCATCTCTCTTACCGGCTTTCGCATTTTTAGAATAAAATTAAAATGCTCATCATTTCCGATTAGGTGCGTACGCGTAGGTTTCCGTCCGAAGTCGATACGCAGGTAACCTTTGTCGAGATCTCCGAGAGACTCCGGGATCCGGAATGGGAAGTGCGCCAACACGCTTTGCGGGTGCTAATGGACGTTCTACCGACATTGAATACCGATGTCGTTGACAAGGTCATGCAACCGGTGGTGCCGGAGCTGATCAATAATTTGGGACATCCAGCACCGGCGGTTCGTAAAGGCGCCCTGGACACGTTACGGGTCTATCTCGTTCATAGTCCTAACAGAGAGATCATGGTCAAAAATGTAAATGCCTGCAACGCGTTTCTCTCTAAATTTTCTTCACAATTTGATGTATCTCATCAATTTAAAAAGTTTAATTCTTAATTAAAAGAAAATTTATCAAGATATAACAATGACTTTTTTCAAAATATAACAACGACAATTTTTTTTTATAGACAAATTTCTAGCGTGACGCTTCTAAATTTAAATCGAGATACACGAGTCTCTAAAATTTTTAAATTTTTATTATTTTTTTTAAACTTTAATTTGCAAAGATATAACAATACCGCTATCAAGAATCGCTTCCACTTGTCAAGATGTAACAATGACTTTTTTCAAGATATAACAATGACAACTTTTTTCTATAGACAAATTTCTAGCTTCTATTTCTAGCTTAACGCTTCTAAATTACAGATCCTTCATGACGGCTTGAATCGTCCGGATGCCCATAATCCATTTCAGACAAATGTGACGACGGGTGTGATTTTAAGCGCACCTTTGTTGCTCTTTCCATCCTCCAACAGTCCTTCCCCTCCAACGCAGATCCTTAAGGATGTTACCATCGCTTTCGCCTCACGATTGGTCCAGGTACCGCATCAAGAGGCTGTTCTGAAATCTCTCATGAAGATTCGCGACACAGTTGGCGAACAAGAATTTGAAAGTTATCTGGCAGATTACGACGATAAATTAAAGAAAAATATTGACGTTCTCTCCAAGATTTATAACATTAAGCCAAGCAAAAAGAAACGAGAAAAAAATCGCACGCAGGATATCATAAAAGCTGACGCGAAGGAACGTATCTTCGATAAATCCTGGGATAGCGATAGCGATACTTCCGGTATCGCCGAAGAGGAGGATGAGGCCCCAAATGCCGGAGGTGCAATACCACCGGCGAGAGTCGTTCTGGAGACCGAGATCAAGTTTAACGAGGAGACGGCCATCACAATGACAATTCTGGAGGAGAAGGACGAGGATGATAGCGAGAACGAGGAGAGGGGAAACAAAAGCGATAACGATGCGAACAACGGCGTTATTGAGGATCTGTCGTCTGCCGATAAACGCAAAACGCCTAGGCGCGTTCACTTTGGTGGCGAGATTGTTAAGCTAAGAACTCCCGATAGTGATGAGACAGAATCGATCGAAATAACACCCAAAACGAGGATTCCCCTTCCGGTATCGCCGGCCACAAAGATGCCAGAGACGACAAGGAGACGGCCTTCCTCGCAACCCTGCAGTCCTCATGTAGAGAAACGAAGATCAAAGAGAACTTCCAGGTCAGCATCTAGCAGTCCGAAGAGAGAGTATATGCACAACGCGCAGCTGAGTCCTAAAAAGAGTATTCTGACAAGGACGAGCGGTCCTCTCATTATTATCAACTCGACGGAGGAGACTAGAAACGCAAAGAAAGTTAGAAAGAGCGAAGAAACGATTATAGAAAACGAAATTTCTCGCCTAAGTAGTTCGCAAGAAGTTGAGGAAACATTGAGGAAAGAAGAAATTACGTTGGCTCAAACTATTCCACCGTCAGCAAATAATGAAAACAAATTAGTGAAGAGCAACGATGAAAATAATACGTTTAAATCAGCTGAGATTCCGGCTACGGAAATCTCAAAGAACGAGCTCTCTTCGAAGGAGAAGCAAGCGATTCTCGAGAGAGACGATCGTGCAGACGCGATCGATTTGAATAGAAAAGAAATTTCTGAAATCTCTCCAAAGCAAGAAAAGAATTACACATCGACGAAATCATCAAGTCCAGATCGAAAGAAAATACTTCGAGATAATAAAGACGACAACGAGATGGAAAAGAGAGGTTTAAACGAACAAAAATCGGCAAACAATTTCTCTCACAGATCTAGTAGTTTTCCATTTGGTTCACCAGTTAACGAGTGCGACGTGCGAATGGATCGCCTGATTGATAGTGATTTCATTGATAACGATGATGAGGATGATGAACGGGATGTGCGTATCTTCGGCACGATTACGGACGATCGTACAGTGACTGTCATGAAATATGGTGATGACGAAGATTTTGCTAAGGACAGTGATGATGACGGACGAAAAGAATGGCGTGATCAGCGTGACAGAAAGGATGCCTCGGAAGGAAACGGAAGCGTCACTTGTAGCAGCAGCGAAGGCGAGGGTAAACCGCAAGAACCTAGCTGGGAGGAATTGGGCTTAGTCAGTCAGGAAGTATTGGATGATCTGCACAACAAGGTAAGAAAATCAAATGTTTCCAAAATAATAAGTGCACCAAATATGCATAAATTTATTACATACGTTTTGTATTATTATTAATAACTTTTGTGAGAGACTTATGTTAGCACAAATGCATATTTTACTGTCGCATGTTAATGTTAATGTTAGACATTTAACCCTAATCTTACTTCAAAATGGATTTAATAAATACAATATGCTTTGTGCATATGTGCGCAATTCTTGAAATTTATAATTACAAACACTCTAAACTATATTTTTTATATTTCTTTTAAAATTCCCTAAATAGTATATGTATAATAATTTTTGTATTAGATAAAACTAATTAAAGATACTAAATTGAAATATTTGTTGATTGGATGGTATGAAATATGCATGTAGATTCAAACTAGGAAATTAATATTTGAAACTATGAGCCGATCTAGCTAATTTCAACTTAGGTCCATAGATTTCGATAGGTCACACTATCACACAGTTAGAACAAATCGATATACTTCGATATTTTTTTAAGACATCCACATTTTATGATGCTGATGGAAATTCGCGTGAGATTCAGTTGGCATCGTTCTTGCCGCGTGTCAGCAGGGTAATGCCCTGGCTCTGGATTCTCGCGATCCTTGATGATTAACGCCGTCCGATTCGAGGACCCTTGACTTTAGGACAAACTGCCGGTCCGATACATTCGGTATGGTGAAAAGTAGGTCGATCGATTTTCGTCGTCGACAAAAGTTCGTCGCGTGACGTAACGCGATTTAAGCTCCATCAATTATCAGGATTACGTGTGCGCGTGTACAGGCTTAACATATCTTTTCTTTTCATTTTTTTTTTTTTTAAATTCTCACGAACCAAGTCCCCATTCTTTGTGCCATCGACGATTTAAATTGGTACACGAGATACAGTGACTGTAAAATTATGACTAACGCAGCCTCACACAGAGGCTTCATTACATTTGCTCGATTTTAATTAATCGATAGTAGCATATTCATAGTAAATATTGGGCGAGTAATCGAAAAGCTCAAAGTCGAGTCTCAGTTTCTCGTACAATCTTTGCACCATCGCTCTGTTCAATTGGCTGAAATATATCTTAGAAGCATTAGTGTAACTATTACTATGCCTCCATCTAGGCTTGATTCTATCCTGCAATCCTAACTTATTAATCACGTATATCTGATCTCGCCACAGTGATTCCACCTGCAAAATTAATTATATTCTAAATACTCCGATGATCGAGAAGATATATTATTTTCGTTAAAAATTTTACTGCAGAGCTAACATTAATATTTTTTTTAATATTTTGAGATGTTGACACGTTGAGATATAGAATTGCGACAAACCAGCGGTTTCCAATACTCTACCTTCGCGATAATATCATACTTGACGAGACATGGCGTGCAGAACAGATAATACGGCATCCAGTGATCGTCGCCATAACTGCCTAGATCAGTTTCGATCATATAATCGACGAACTCTCGGAAAGTCGGTTCCACACCTGCGGGCGGTGGTACACCTTCGCGTCGGATTACCTGATCTGGTCGCGGCTTTGTGAAATTTTCTTCTAAAAGTTCATCAAGTTCTTCATCCTTTGTTCTTTATAAAATTATAGTACATCCAACATGTTCTTGTTGCGCAAAATTTAAGATTAAGCGTAAATCGTGAGAAAAAATTTATTTTGGCGGTAACTATTGTGAGAGAAGCGGGGAAAAAAGGATTATCCCTTCTTCTTATGACTTACTGCGATACTTCCGTACGATTTTGGCCCCGTGCTTGCGATAAAAGTGAAGCGTCCCGTGTTCCCGTCCGGCGATGGAGTTTTCCAGTTTGTCACGATAGGCGCTCAGCAGCCTCTCGAACGGATGCCGTACGACCAACAATTTCTTGCTCGTATTTAGAACACGATCGGCTTCGGGATATTCGAGTTCCGGTATCACTTTCCTGGCGATAATCGACAGTTGTTCCTTGCCATGGTTTAGTGTCTCTTCGGGCACGTTCATTAACAAGCAGAAATTATAGAGCCAGGTTGTGGTGCTGGCTTTGTATATCGGACAATATGATATGTTGTGTACCCTATGCACAGAAATTGTTATTTTATAGAGAAGATATCTTGACTCGATTTTATATCTGCTACGGTGAAATTTGTTTACAACCTGTCCATATAAAAAACGGCATATTGCGGCGCAGGTGGATGTTTGAATGGCGAGTTGTCGACGAGTTTTCGATAAAAACCCAAGTTATACTTTTTGCATACTCTTTCGACATTTAACAACCGCCATGTATTGTCTGTTTCAGCCTCGATCTGATAAACGACTTAGAATTGTATCTTGATCTCCTTGAAATTTTGAATCTCTCGATAAGCAACATGATGACTCACCATTAATTTTCTTAGATCATTATCGACGGGAAGAGATTTACTCTCGTCGCCGATAACGGCGAGAGACAACTTTAGCATCAAGAAGACAACTCCGACACAGACAACGATTTGGAATATCCGGAAGAACGCACGTTTTCGTTGCCGCGACATGATAGACACTGCGAGACGCACTTTAAAGATTCACAAATAAGTCGTTTTACATATTTTTCACTTGTAATCACAATCGTCAATAGACAGAAATTTTCTATAAGCTAAAAAGCGAACATTCTCTCTGCCTTCTATCAAGGCACCAACTGACCGGTTTCGTGCACCGTTTTCCGACAGTGATGTATCTAGTATCTATCAGATCTCCTTGGCTAAGCGATTATTAGAAAACATTACTATAAATGCGCCGTAGCATGTTTCATAAGTCTCATAAGTATCATAAGTCTCATAAGTTTCATAAGGATGATCTTATTGCTCACTAAATCTATCATTTTATATAACAAATTTGTTGATATCATTTTTGCAAAATGACATGACTCGTAATATCTAATATCGATACCGCGTGTTGAAGATGTATTATGCATGTAGAAAATTTTAATCTGTAAAAAATTTTCTATTTTAAACACCTTTAACAAAAAGTAAATAGAATCAGTAAATAGGTTCGGTGCATAAGTCCACTCCTGAAGTGTGAGTGGGGAACGTTACGACTGAGGAGAATCTTGGATTCATTCTAGCATACTAATTCCGTTAGTTCAGCTGTTCAAATGGGATATCCCCCATTGCAACGACAAAGATTGCAGGCCAATGTAAAATGGCAAATCCTCGATTTTATTAATAATCGATTGACAATATATAAAATTCATCATTGGAAAAATCAATTTCAAAAAAACTGATATACATCAATCATTATAATAATATAAATTAATGGCGGTAAATCTATGAGGGAATACTTGCAGTGCTAAGATACGTACGATTAACATTCCAATAACGATCACCGCGGTCACAAGTATATCTTATGTTCATTCAGTGAGTAACTTCAAGGTTGCTGCACTAGACCTTTTTATGAATGCACGTGCGACCTCGTCGACGCGCGTCTGCGAGAGGCCTATGAAAATAAATACCGATGCCACGATCGATTTTCAAGGGACGTCGTTCGCCGCAATCCCGAGAAAAGAAAATATAGATAGTATAATATATTGCCTGACTTTGACTTTTCGCAACATTGTATGTTGTATTACTCTGCATAATTGATCCGCGATGTCAAGCCCGCGGCTTCTATCTCATGTGAACTAGTTACTTTAAAGTAATCGAATATAGAATCGATTCTATATTCTACAAAAAATTTAATAAAACTATTCTACACAATATTAATTTTCGATTTATTAAGTATTTCAAATGTTAAATTTCCGAATAAATTGTTATAAAAGTTGAATTTTTCAAATTAAAACAAAAGTGTGTTTTTCATATAATTTCTGCTCAACAATCGCGTTATTCTTTTCAGTTAAATTGCGCAACGAGCAGAATCTGAATTAAATAAATAAGCACAAATGCAAATGTGAATAATTTGTTTTCACATACGCAAATAGCGTTGAGTTCTCGTTGAGCGCTCGTGATTCATTGAAGTCAAGTTATTCGTTTGTATCTCTTTAGGTCTGGAGCCGAAAGAAAATTCATGCTGAAAGAAAATTGTCACGAAAGAAAAGAATTGATGAAAGAAAATTCTTTGGGAATGTAATTTTTCTTCCGTTGATTCATAAAGAAAGATCGAGATATAAATAACACAAGAAACGCACTTTGTCAAATTGTTAGGCAATTTCTTTTCTCTCTTTATGCGCGAAATAAAGTTTTATGCGTGTGAACGTACTCTTGTATCGTGCCGCGCGATACGGTTTGCCAAAGCGCCCTGATATCAGCGCCCGTATGAATATTCCACGGGTGAAAAACGATGAGAGATCTACCTCGCGGATCGTTATGCTGCGGACGAGTGCATAAGAGAGGGGAAAACGCGCGCGGTAAGCCGCAAGAAAATAATTAGGCACGTGTTGCGTGCAGCGTCGCTCAGGTCCAGGAAGGCGTCATTCCCGTGTATATGCAAATCGACGGCAATTGTACCTGTCGCGTTGCACCGACGTCGTCGTAAGTGCAATTTTCAAACTCTGTTCTCTGATTCATCGTGGCGCAAATAGGCGGATATATTGGTAGTAGTATGCTTCGCGTAAGACTCGCGCGCGTCTCTTTTGCACATCATCCGTTTCATCGAGTCAAAAAAACTTGAAAAGTCTTGAAAAAGGGCGCGATTAAGTACGTTAAAAAAAATATATAAATATAAGAAACGTCAAGAAGATGCGAGGTCCGCATCGATCCCGCGGTTATAGAGCTCGATAGAAATGCACGGTGAGAATGCGGATGTATTGCGTTCAATTCCGCTGCGACGATCAATAATGTCGACTCGTGAATTTCTAGCGTGAATCTCATCGCTCACACGTTCGTAATCAAATTTTCCAAAACTTCTTCTTTTATTTCCTCTCTGATTTATTTATTTATTATTTCACGAAGTGGAGAGATGGACTGCAAAAGAATAATGGGTTTCTTCCTATAAATTCACAAACATCGATACACACATGATTGCAGATGACTCATACTTGCGATTAAAGTGGTGCTTTAGCGATTATATACTCAAGTATTTGACCAGTTAATCCCGAGAACAGCCGGATAAATGCGGCTTATTCTTATCACGTGTAATTGTTGGGAGATTTGCATGTGCACGCAAGACGATTATATATTAGATAGAAGAATGAAACGATCGACGAAATCGATCTTCTTTATGATAAAAAAAATTTTTATTTTTAAAAGTTCCAGGGACGTTTTATTTTTTTTAATTTTCAACAAAAGTTTTATATTTATAAATTATTTGTAAATGTTATTATACGAAGCTTCTCTTTTAATAAAAATAAAAATATTTTTACATAATTCATGTATTATATATAAACAAAAACTTTTCCTCATATAATAAAAGCGAAATAAAGATTGTTTATTCTTCATAATCAGATATTTGACAGTAATTTAATAATAGTCAAAATATAACTGATGCGAAGGAGAGATGACAGTTTTATGACGCGTGTTGTATGACGCGTATCATAATTATTCGACATCCTTTTCCAACCTGACTTTGTTTTGTCACTTTTCCAGGATGATTGGCGAGCCCGTGTAAGAGGCTTGGAGAGAGTCGCGTCGGCTCTGCGGACATCCTCGGCGCTAATCGCGATAGAATCGCGATTAGGATCGCTCTTGCATGCGGTGCTCGGCGGCGAAAGGAGCTGCCGGGTAGCCGCCGCCGGCTTAGCGGTGGCGAAGGTGAGCTCGTAATTCCTCGAATCTCAACATCGCCCTTATATGCAGCGGATCTTGGCTAATTTGTCGCGAGCCCCTTATGCCCTGTTATTATGTAATATTATATAATTCCGGCGTACTGGAAAGGAAATGGGCCAATCTATCATTAAATTTTCAACTTCGACATCTCCTAATACGATTCCTTTTGGTATTTAAAAGCTTCCTTAAGCTTCCTTAAAGTTAAAGAGAGATTAGATTAAATTTCTCTGCATTCCTTTCAATTCTTTAAGTGATTTTTTTGAAACTTTTAAAATTAAAGCTAAAAGTTTTAACGCAACAAGATTCCTGGGAGCATATTGATATCCTCCCGTTCTCAAGCCTAGAAGCGAATTACAAGTTTTAAATGCAAGTAGCAAGGACATCTATGACACGCTACATGTATATCCCGTTACACGAGAGTTGCGTAGAAGTTACTTTTAGCGCGATAGAAAGAGAATAACATTCTATAATTTTTTCATAATGCCAAAGGTTCATAATGTGTTATGTAGCGTCAATGTTATGTTGTTCAACTTTTCTAGAATTGCGTTTCTAGTAACATGTTCTTGGAAATTATTTTTCATATTTCAGGTAGTGGTTGCCGGTGTGTCGGAGGACGCACTGAGAAAAAGATTGCCGCAATTGGCCTGGGGCCTGGCTAGACAAGGTGGTCCAGCCGCGGCGCAGCTTGTTAGGATCGCGATGTTGCGGCTCAAACCTAGCCTGCTTTTGGAACAATTGTTGCAGCCTCATTGTTTAAGCGCCAGAAATGCCAAGGTAAAGGCTTTTTTAAAGCACATTAATTCGGTGATCTTACAAGATTTATCATAAGATCATAAAATTATCGCGCGAACAAACGGATGTTAAGCTCATTTTCTTCATGCAGACGAGAGAAAATGCATTACAACTGTTGATTTTTTCGCTGGTGACGTTCCCGAGTACCGAATTCAAATTGGAAACTGTGGCTAGTCGAGTAGCGACTATGGTCGCGGATCGACGACGCAGAGTACGTCAAGCTGCACTCGACACTTTGGCTGTTTTGGGACAGATTTACGACCCTGAGGTAAAATAATCTCAATTTCGAGTCTTAGTCTCGAATTTTGAAAGTGAAATAATGTTTCGTTCATTCGTAGGAGGTTCTCGAAGCAGGAAGACGAGCAGCCGAGGGATGCGCCGATGTCGAGGCAATGCTGGCCGCCATTAGAGCACGGCTGGCCAGGAAATCATTACCTCTAGTGTCAGCTGACGGTCTTGTGGTATACGGCTTGCAAATTTCACCGACTGTTCAGATCGCTACTGGTAATCGGAGATAAACGAACAAAGCGTAACACACTCGCGAAAATAAAATAGCAATGAAATAAAGACAAAAAATATTTATCCTTTGTAGCTGTGTATATCACGTACTACTCACATTTTTTTAATTTAAGACATTTAAAAGCAGCAATAGATATTGCGTGACATTTTGGTGTAAAACGTAAAGTAAAGTAAAGTAAAGTTGATGATAAAGTTACATGATTATATATAAGCTTCCTTAATATAAGCTTCCTTAATTTTATAGATTTTTATTCCAAATATATATCTTCAATTTTTATGTGAGACATCAATTTTTTACAGGTCCCGACGTTGATTGGATAGTAGCGGGAAGCGGTTCGGTTTCCCCTGGCACCGGTCGTACCAGAGGTCAAATTATTGCCACGTCTCGATCGGCACAAGGAAGAACATCTAGGTAATATTTTAAATAATTGCACGCGATTATTCCACGAAATTCGATATATATAATTTTCTTAAAAATCACTTAAAATATCGTATTATTTTAGAAACGAAATCTTAAATAACCGCGAAAGTCCATGGATAGAGAGACCTAATCTTGTCGCGCTGGGTGTCGGACTACAATCCAAAACTGAACAATCAACCGCTTGGCAGATATTGTCATCGCAGACTAACGTAAGTTAGATTGCATATTTTTTTTACTTGTTTTTTTTATGTGAGCGAAAGAATATTTACTAAACACATTAATCTATTAATATAAAAAGAGACATAATTGTCAATTTTAATAATAATAAATTTGCAACTTTATAACGCGATTTCGTATCACAATGTATATTTTTATGCATTTTATGTTTGATAACGAATATCTAGATTGGTGTGTTATTAATAATTCTAAGAAGTATAATATTATTTACAAGAAAGATATTATTGATTTCTCATTAAATACCGCGCGTCACGGTATATTACTCTTCTCATTGTTACTCATCGAGATATTCAGCTTTGCAATGCAAATACTAAAATATCAAATACGCAAAGAGATAGGAAGTAGTGACAGAGCAATACATCTTTTCTCTCAAGCTTTATTTTACATATCTCCGCGAACGTTTGTAAATATTCTTCAAGTGTAAATTGAGTAAGGGGTTTTAAGCACGGGAGGCACTAATTCTCTACGTGATTCAATAACATCATATTTTCGCAATTTGCATTTGTGTCTTGGTTAATGTCGTTAATAAATGCTTAAGGCAGACGATTTAATTTTATAAAGCTATCGATATAATCGATAGTAAAAATGTTGCTAAGAGTCTTTAAAAGTCAGTAATACATAGAATTCGTTTGTTTCTTGAATCAAGCCGGATCGCCGAATGGCCTGTCGCGATATGAGAAGCAAAATATTCTTTGGATAATAGGTTATTCTAATTTCTCATTTTTTATTTTTTATATATAAGCACTCATGTTTCGAAATAAAATTTCATAATGATTATGTCGCGCTTAAAGGCCATGTGTTTGTCAGAAATATCGAAGGTTAGAGTATCGTACAATTTATGCAGGTCCAATGCCCTATTTAAGTGAATATCATTTTCTGTTACAGAACGACAATGAAAATGAAATAAAGGGACCGAATGGACGAAACGTAAATGCAGGTAAAGAAATCTCTCTTGACTCTCATTTAATTTGATGATTAAACTTAACAAAAATTTGTAAAGATAATTCGAATTTTCCAGGAGTGTCTTCAAATGCCAATTTAAGATTCGAGGAGCATCTGCAATCGTTTTACACGCCATTAAATCAGTACAATTTTGTCGAGACGAATGCTAAGAATCATAGACAAATTTCTGACAATTTTGAGCAAAAAACGCGAAATCGCAAGGACGTTAATGAAATTTCTAAAGAAAAGGCAAGATTCTCATAATAATATGAAATAATAAATTATTTTCAGTTACTTCAAATTTACACCTAACATTACATCACGATATTATTATGAATATTTAATATATAAATTTATTAAATGTAGAACAAAAAAATATTTGCAGGAAAGCGCTGTTCTCAGAGGAGAATCTAGGATCCCGATATTGTCAGTGCGCGAACGTCTCAAAATAACACTGCAAAATCGTGAAAAATCCCTCAATTTAGAACATGTCAATTCCAATTCGCGAAAGCAAACGAAAGATGTTTTAGATAACAATAGAAATCGAATAAATTCACGACAGGAGAATGTTGGGTAAGTATTATCGATATCTCTATGGAAATAAATCTCTATTTTTAGAATTAAATTAATATTAAATATTATATGTGCAGGTCGTATGCAACTATACATCAACGGCGAAAACGTTTTCAACAAGAAGAGAATCAGAATTTAAATCATACATTTGATTCGCATTCTGGTTGTCGTCCATCCACTTACATGAAAGGAGCAATAAATAAAGATTACAATGTAAGTTGTTCTAAATAATGTAAAAGTTCTCTTTCAGTCTCCATAGAAGAGACATTATAATTTCGATAAAAACTTTAAAATCTTTTCTTCTTTTTTTATACTGCATTTCGTTTCTTTAAATATTAATTTAAAGTAAAATTAAATTAAAATAAAATATTAAATATAATATTATTATATTATTATATTAAATTATATAATTATTATAAATTTAAATTATTAAATTTAAATATATAACAATTATATTTATATAAATAAAATTATAAATTACAATTATATTTGTGGCTCTACAGAGTATTGTAAGAAGCAGAGAAGCAATGTTCTCGGATGACAATTCACTTAATTACGACAGATTTGTGGACACCGATATGATTACAGATGAGAATGAAAGTTTGAATTGTATAGGAGGACGTCAACGATTGTTACCTAGAAACATGCAACAACAAACCTTCGTTGAAACGTAAATATTAAATTCCTTTTCTTTAATCAACGAAAGAATATTTGTTTATATAATTGATTTTTGTTTCTACAGATGCAATTCGATTCACGATCATCAAAGAAAGCTCGCAGATAGAAATGCATATCGGCCGTTACGAACCGCTCCAAATCCATTGACTCGCGTGTATCAGGATTCTCAGAATTCGCAAGTGTCTACAGATAATGATAGGAATGTGATATACCAAGTAAGTAAATTATCTACGTCTTTTCTTTGATTTTACGATTGTTGCAGCAAGTCATTAATTTTAATTG